GATCATTGTAGTCAGGAAACGAGCCAGAGTACATGTTAAAGAGGATGTGGTTCCGTCCGTTATTCCAAGTCCGTAGCGCCTTGAGTTTCTCGGGTAAGCGTTTAACGTAGTCGTTGCTGAGAGGGTCTCGGTCAAGAGTATCAATGTTAAGGACCAGCAGACAGGCTGTGTTTGGGTCACTGGTGTAGTAAGGGCTATCACGGAGAACTCTCACCATCTTCTTGTAAATAGACGAAGCAGCTTGTTTCCCACCTCCCCTCCCTCCCTTCTTCTCCTCTTCAAACGGGTACACGTATACCTTAAAAGAGTTGATGCACCTTGATACATTAAAGCAGGTAGCCATTGTGCACTTGGCAGTGATCCTAGAGCCTTTATGCGAATAATGAAGGTCTTCCGGGAACATGAAACTGCTATGCTGTCTTCTCCTAGTCTCTGATATAGCCTTGGGACTAGCTTTAGAGCTAGCATACAGGGCCAGGAGAGCTACTGCTGATAAAAGAGTCCCGGCAGCCACAAGGCGTAGTAGCTTTCGTCTAATTTTCCAAGTGAGGCGCATGATGGAGAGCTCCTTCTTTCTCTCTCACGTAACTCTATAGCACATATCACGTCTCCCTGTCTGCCAGCACCTTTGAAGTAGTCATGTACCTCGAAACAGACGAGCCAATTTTCAAACTATGAAAAGAGAGTGCTTTTTAATTGCAATTATGATAACCTCAAGTCATAATGTCACCTCTCCCACACACAACACGTGCAATCATTATCAATTAAACCACACCCATGACACGCCTATAATTGAAAGCCCACACCCACAGTAAATAATGCAATAAAGTGAGTAGACCCATTCTCATAAGAGTTTCTGGGCTCTAATCTCTAGGACGCCATGGCTAGAGTCCTCGTTAAGTTCTTCATTATCTTCTTTATTTCGTACGCCATTGGTGTAGCAGTAATAGTCATAACTGCTGAGCTCTGCAGGCAAAAGGTAAGGGAGTAAAAATATTAATACCAATTCCATATTCACTCCTTTATGCAGAACCAGGCACTGAGAGAGTCAGGCAATGCCTCTGCTACTATAAGCAGGAGTAATGATGAAGCTGACATATTATACAGCCATACAAGGGGAAGAAACAAGGACAGCAGATATACATTACCTTCTGATAGTCACCTTCATAGTGAAGGGAGAGACATATCACAAGGGATCGGATTCTATTATAGACACTTTGTCTTTGATTACAAGACTGACTCGGAGCCGATTGTCATTACTCTATTCAATTACCGCAACCATACTGAAAGCCCACCACAGCAAGCCAAAGATTAATATCTACTTTTTATAATCCTGAAATCCTCTCGTTATTATCTACTTAATCCGGATAGTTTCAGCAAAGAACAAAAATGTATCATTTATATATTACACAATATAATTATGACAACATATGTAATTATTACTATTATACACCAATTATCAGTTTCATGATTTTCCTCTCTCTGAATGGTAAAAAAAAACATTAAAAAATTTGTCAGTGTTATTAATAGAAATGTTATATCTTTGATGGCACAGCTTTCCAGTGTAAATCATCTGCCCCTGGCCTTGCTTCAATTACTAAAGGTGCAACAAAAACAAAGGAATACATAGAAATGAACATAAATCAAATTATAACCTTCTGATTATATTTCTTGTCAGCATTATTTTTAATTAATTCAGGGCTAGCATACAAGTATTGTACCTATTTTATTTTCTTTGCGAAGTTTCTCCAGATGAAGCTTGACATTGTTCTCTGCCATGGGCCAAAGAGCCTCAGGCACATCCTTCCCACACAAAAATACAATAATTTTTGGTACTTTCCCCATCACCTTACTTTATAAATAATTTTGACAATGCCCATCGAGGTCAAAGCACGAGGAGAGGTTGTCAAAGCATCCAGTATCTATATAGTAATAGAGATAGTATGATGCATGCAATGGGAAGGTTCCATAATTCACACGGTAGGTGGCGCATAGTAGCTACAATTCCCACGAAGCTAAAATTTGGCACTTATACAGCTATTCTGCTACAGTCAGCAGAGCTAAGCAAAGATCACCCTATTCTTAGACAAACAATTTATCTTTAGGTATTATTTTCCCTCCCTCTGGTAACTTAAAGTTTATTTGTAGTACTGAGAAAAGAGGGCCTAATAGGAATGCCATAGGATATACACCTAAAAGGCTGTATAACTTGTTAAATGAGAATTACTCAGTATACTCAATAACTGGAGGCTAATAGGAAGGAGGATAATTATAAAAGGGTCTCTTAAAGGTTATAAGGAAGAATGGGCTAATAGAGAAAGAGTGAAAAGAGAATGAGAGATAAAAAGAGAAAGTGAAAGAGCAACAAAGGCGAATTGGTGATAAGAGAAAGATTAACAAAAGGAGTATCAACACACTTGTTTTTCTCTTGACATTCTGTGAGTGATGTATCTTCAATAGCA